CAATTGATCGCAGCGCACCCTGCGCTTGATCGTAGGGTTGTTGAACCAAATTTGTCTTAGACTTGCACACTTGATTCGAATGATGACTTTAAGCCACGTTGTGAATTGCAGTGATTAAATGAAACTCAATAAAGGCCGGTAATGAATTAAGAAATGGCCGTTTTGCCCCTAGTATGTCCTCGGGTCCGGGCAAAGACCCGAAATCGTATCATAACCCGTTAGTGAATCGGGTCTTCTGGAGTAAGGCCATTACATTATTATAAGGTGTCATCAAACACCTAAATACTGTTTATTGACCGCAATTTTTTGACACATTTACCGATAAAATCGTTTTTTTTTTTTTTTTTTTTTTTTTTCAACAGCAACCCTAAATGGGCTCTAAGTAATGAATTGGATTATCAAACTAACACCTTATTAGTGGCGTGAAAGAGTTGATTATATATGTACATATACATATACAACTATAACACGAATGGTAATAGACAATTATAGTAAAAAATGTGGTAGCATTTATATATTATTTGTTCATATATATTACAAATAAGTATAAGTATATAATTCATTGTATTTCTTTTACTCATAAAGGAAATAGAATTTCCATTTTTTATCACCATTATTCATATATAATTTTTTTAAAAACAAGCATAAGTACAAAGTTATTTAATTCACTGTAAAATTTTATAAAATACCTATATATATATATATATATATATATATATGACACTGGTTATGAATCATGAAATATAAAAATAATAGCTTTCTTACTAACTAGGAAAGTTGAATTTTTAGGTTAATTACCAATTATTTTCCTATAGTTGCACACCATTTAAATTTTTTTTCTTTCTTATAATGCAATATTGATCAAAGAATATGTTGCATAATATATAATACTGAAAATATATAATACGTGTAGTATATAATTCAACTAAAAAATACAAATATACATAGTTTTTATTTGTAAGAACATATGTGTACTATAAGAGTATAATACATGATTTTGTTAACTATCAAACGTCTATCATTTACTTGGGAAAATATTCATTTTATGTACTTGAAAGATCATTATAGTTGGGTGGTATTTTGATCAACAAGTATAAACTTTGAACAATTAAATACAAATCAATGACCCAGTTTTTTATTATACGAGTTTAAAACAAAACAAAATTTTAATTTATCCCTCCTAAAGTCTAAATCAAATGCAAACATAATGTTTTCACCTACAAAGCAAATATATGAATACATCAAAAAATAATAATATAATATTTAATTATATATATAAAAAAATTTTATTTTTCATTTTATACATATAATCATGGATAAAATCATTAATTTTGAACTTATAGTGAGATGATTGTTAATTTTGTTTTCTTAAATTTTATATTATTTTTAATTAACCCATAACACATTTTAAATTGTATTGAATCTCATTTTTTTAAAATATAATAATTACAAAACCACTACATCGTGTCTTTAAAGTGTCCAAAAACATGTAATTGCCACGATAGAACTAAGAAGAAAAGAAAAGAAATGGAAAATGAAAAGAAAAGAAATGGAAAACGAAAAGAAAAGTGAAGTGAATGAAAAGAAAATTTATTTTCTAGCATGCATTTGGTTAAGGTGAAAATTTATTCAAAAAAATTGTATTGAATAGCATAAAAGTTACTAAAAATATTTGTACTTACCTAAATTGTCCTTATGTTATATTGTCCTTATTTTATAAAAATAGTAAAATAATAAAATAAATAGTAGAATAATAAAAAATTAATTAGTAGTTATATATATCTATAAAAAAAAATGATATTGTTTTCCAATTAAGTGACACATTACAAATAACTATTTATAGAAGTTAATTCAAACTCTACCACCAATAAAGTTATTGCTGGTTTGTAATTCTTTGAAACCAAGTTAATTTTTATTTATTTATTTATTATTGGTGACCTACAATTATCGATATAGTTGTTGGATAAAATGGGAATGCAAAATAGAAATATGTTGCTTTGACGAGAAAAACTTAGGTTGCGTTTAGTAAACGAGAAACGTTTCTTGTTTTCTGTTGTCAACCTCTAAAAAAGTAAAACAAAAACAAAAATCGCGTTCAATAAAATATTTTTATTTTTCTATAGCAGAAAACATTTTCAATTTTTGTGAAGAAAAGAGAAAACATCAAAATGATGTTTCTTATGTTTTCGGCACTGTAGCGTAGAAACGTTTTAACTAATGTTACTGCACAAGCATTATTCATTTCAAATAAAACTTATATTATTTGTGTTATATACTAAGTTGCATATTAAATGTTAATAAAAATATATATTTTTAATATAGAATAAATTAAATATTGTATATTATTTTCTATTTGATAAAAATATATTTAATATAAAAAATATTAAATAATAATGTAAATTATTTTTTGTGACAAAATAATTTTTGATATAGAATATAATGTTATTAAATTATTAAGCAGTATATATTTTATATTATTATATATCATATCTATATTATATTATATGTAAATATTAAATTATAATTAATTTACAATATTATAACACAATATATATTTTATCACATATAAGATATATTATTTTATATTTTTTATTCATAATAAATTATCATATGCTAAATATATTATATATCACATAATAAATGTATACATCATGCATATACATGTATTTATATACATAATTGGTGGAAATGTTTTTGTCTTGGTATATCTAATTTTGTACTTATAATGTATTGGGTATTTTTAAGATTTATAATTTTAAATTAGATTTTATAGATTTATAACTTTTTGATATTAATGGAAGTAAGTGTCGTGCTTGAGTGATTCGGTTGCTTCCTATGTGTGATAGTTCGTGTTCAAGTCATCTACCTTCCCCCTCACCCTCCCCTCTAATCAATAACTCCTAAAATTCTTGCCATGAAAAAAATAAAAAATTTAAAGAATATTAAGTACATTTTGTAATAAATATGTTGTATTACTAAACACAGTTATTGTTTTATATTTTCAAATTTGTGACAACAATAATGCTTCGTTTGGTTGGAGGGATGAAAAAATGGATGGAAGAGATAGGAAGAGGGATGGATGAGATATCTCTAGGGAAGGGAGGGTGTCTTTCCCATTTTATGTTTTGTTGAATGGAATGGATAGTAGAAATGATGAATGGAGTGATATTTTTTTCTTGTTTGGTTGGAATGAAGGGAACGAGAGTTCTTATATTATTTTTACCAGTATACCCTTTTATATAAAATTATAAAAGGCAGATATTTATTTCAAAATTTTTTAAAAGGTTAAAATTGTAAATTACCAATACATAGATAGTTATGCATTCTTTCTCTCCTCTCTTCCCCCCAAAAGTGGGCGGATAGAAAAATATAAAGGAAGGAGGGATGCTTCATCCTTCCTTGTTTCCTCCCTTTCTTCCCTTCCCTTCAACAAAACACGAAAATATTCATCCATCCCTCCTCTCATCCATCCCCCCTCAATCCTTCCCTCCAACCAAACATAGCATAAGTGTTAATAAACATTATTTCTGTTGTCTATTTTTTACTTAATAAAACAAAATCATGTTTCTACTTTTTTAAGACTGCAAAAATAGAAAACGAAAATGTTACTAAACGCACCCTTATTTTCGCATGGTTTAGGCAGGAAATGTTTTGGAGAAAATAACAGTTACGAGAATTCAAATTTTCCAGAACGTTTCATTTTCATTCTATCCAAACTCTAAAAAAGCTGTAAAATTTTTCGCTTTCCTTTCTTTTTTACTTAATTCTATCTAACCAAACAGAGCGTAAGAGAAATATCCATGTTTCTTAGTTTCCCGCATATAATTTCGAAAAAACTCTAACTTGGATACTTCCATTGCTAAAATTTAAAGGTAAAAATTCAATTGAAATTGTGGAATAAAAATTATCTATGAAGTTTAAGCTTAGTAGAGCACGGTATTCTTAATGAAAATAATGTAACTTATTTTTCCATAGCATTAGGAACTGTGAGGTATAAAAATGTATTAAGGTAAATGAAATTAAAAAGCGCTTTAGGAACAAAATCTGTCTTGAACTTTGAAAAAAAAAAAAAAAACAATATTATATAAGTAAATGAAATTAAAAAACACTTTAGGTAAATGACATGTCTTAGCTAGCAAAATTATTTAGTAAGATAAGTAAATGAATAATTATTGGTCCAAACAATACTTTACTATTGAAGATGCAAGAAAAAATGGTTCTCTATATTAAGAAAGAGTTTCCTTACACTTCAACAATCACCCCATTCTCTCCCTCTCTTTCTATTATAAAAGTCTACAGTTGCCCTAAAATTTTTCGTGGGCCTGGTTTCTCATTGGGCTGCCCCACCACAAAGTTAGGTCCAATTCCTAGAATGATTGGCCTAGGAAGTTGTTGGAGTCTTTTTCTGAATGAATGGGCTGGGCCAGATCCGGCCCAGTGGGATTCTTTTGTCCCTTCAACTACCCATTTATGAAAATAAGACGGGGGATATATAAAGTTGTACTATATTATGGTATTAAATTAATAAATCATACTATTGAACAAGGGTAAGACTAAAATAAATAAATAAATAAATAAAACATTTAATACTGTCTGAACATATATATATATATATATATATATATATATATATATATATATATATATATATTGTAATGAAAAGATGAAGTCACACATGAACACTAATATTTTAACAACAAATTTTTAATACACACCTTGTATTAATTCAAATTACTTCACAGCACCAAAGGAATTAAGTGACTGAAATTGTGACAAATTTTTTATTTGCCAACATACATAATTACTTTATTAGCATTAAATAAATAAATCATAATATTAAATAATAGTGGTAAAAGCAAAAATAAAAATAAATAAATAACAAATTAACATTATATGACACACACACACACACACACATATATATACACGTGTATATTGTGAGGGAAATATATTGTAACACATGAACATTAATATCTTAATAGAAATTTTTAAATACACACCTTATTTCAATTCAAATAACTTCACAGTATCAAAGGAATTGAGTGCCTGGAATTGTGACAAATTTTTTATCTGCCAACACACATAATTACTTGATTAGCATTAAATTAATAAATCATACTATTAAATAATAGTGGTAAAAGCAAAAAATAAAAATTATGAGCATGATATATATATATATATATATATATATATATATATATATATATAAAATAGTAATATCTTAATAGAAAATTTCAAATTCATACCTTATTTCAATGCAAATAACTTCAATGCACCAAAGCAGTTGAGTAGCTGGAATTGCGACAAAATTTTTATTTGCTAACATATAGAATTACTTGATCAGTATTAAATTAATAAATAAATCATTCTATTGAACACTAGTGCTAAAAGGGAAAAACAACTATTTAACATTGTTTATATATATATATATATAACATGTGTATGTATGTGGTGTAATAGAAAGATATTGTAACACATATAAATTACTTGATTGAACCAAATGATCATTCTAAAGAATAAAAGTATACACAAGGACATTGCATGCACACATTACATTGCTTACCTAAATGTTGCCCTGGTGGACAGCTTTATGGAAATATGGATTGAAGCGCAAACCGGAGTTCAAGAGTAATATACTTTCTTGCATACACAAACTTACTTATATATATATATCTATTGATTTAGAGAGAGAGAGACTAAAGAAAGGAATAATTCATGAGTTGCATCTTCTTTTATTGGGATTGTTTGTACTTCACAAGGAAGCAATATATCAAAAGATGCAAGTTGTCTCGTGTGTTTTATATATCAAAAGATGCTTTTCTTGGCCTGTGAAGACTCGTGAAAAAGATGAATTAGATATGAGAAATTAAAATATCAATTTTTATTTACTAAAATTATGTCATACTTTAAAAGTCTAAACTTCTATCTCAACTGATCTCCTTAATTTTTAATTGGATTTCGCTTATAAAGCATAATTGATACATGTTCAAAACATTGCATAGACACACCTACTTATATATATCTTTTGATAGATGGAGAGACTAATGACTACTTATATATATATATATATATATCGATTGATAGAGCGAGAGACTAATGAAAGGAATAACTCATTAGTAGCATCTTCTTTTTTGCCAAGGAAAGCAAGGAAGCAGTACAAGTGGGGCTGGAAAGTTGTCTCATGGTTTGCTTTTCTTGGCCTGTATTTCGGAAGAAAAGCAAGGAAGGAATAATAGGTGAGGGCATGGGGAGTTGTCTCATGGTTTATATTATGTATTTCAATATAGGAAAGATGCTTTTCTTATCTTCGACCATCCATCAAACACATACCTCGTAAGAGACAGATGCATTTCGGAGATCACTGTGTTGGAATTTTTATATATATATTTAAATAATAAAAATTATTTTATGGTCCTATGTATTACGTTTTTTAAAATAGGATTGCAATGTGATTATTGATACTTGATGGATTGGGTTGTACTTTCCAATTTGGTGGTCTAATTGGGAGTATAGTTTTATACCGTTGGATTGTGATTTTTCAACTTATTTGGTGTGATTTAATTCTAACCATTGATATCTAAATGTCCATGATAGGAAGGGAGGCTAAGATATATTTGTTTGTAGAGAAGCCGTCCCCTCTGTTGTTGTTATATATAAGGGTTTTAAAACTTTTATTCAGTCCTATCGTATCGACAACTTTCAAAAGAGAGTAAAACGCTCTATTTTTCAGATATCTCAAAGGGCACTAATAAATTCTCAAAGGTATTTGCGATTTAATCATCAATCAGGTAAGAGACTAAATGTTTTATTTAATTAATTGTAATATTCTTGATTTCTACATGTGGATTATTTATTTAAAATCCAACAAGTGGTATCAGAGCAGGTTAGGATTTGTAGAAATAAAAAAAAATAAAATAAAAAAATAGTAAAAATTAATTTATAATGTTTTGAATCACGCTGATTGTGAAAATCCTCGATTTTGTGCGTGATCAATTAGATGTAAAGCTAAAAAAAAAAAAAAAAAAATTGCATGTGTGTTTGAAGATGCAAGAAATTCATACTCTCTTTCTCTCTCTAGAATTCTTACATTTTCCATTAAAAAAAAAAATATCTCTCCCCCCCCCCCCCTTTTCATTCCTTCTCCGATTTATAGATATTTACAAATATTGACGGGTTCTGGATCTGGGCCTGTTCCTCCATAAGTCCTGGTCACCTTTTATAGGCTTATTCGCGGTCGGCCCATATGGCAGTGTCTTTTTATGGGCCGACCCAGCTATTCGGACCGGATGTCGTGTTTGCAAGTCATATCCGGCCCATGTCATCCTGGGCCTCCTCAACTGCCCCCATAATTGCCCCTTATTTAATAAGGGGGTAATTATTGAAGGCGTCTTATCATGACGTTGACGGCTCGAGAAAACCACGTGGGGGAACGGACGGTCAGATCCAGAATCAATGTTCCGGGGCTCGATGAATTTCTCGCCTTCCTGACGCTTCGGCCCTCGGGTCCCCCTCGCCTTTATAAGGTTCTAGAATACCTCTTCACGCCTTTTTACCGTCTCCATCATCAGTCAAATCTCTCTCTTTTTAGAACAGTGCTAAGCTTTTTCTGGTGAAATCCTTCAAGAGTCATTCTTCCAGCGATCTTGCAGTGCTCTTTGTTGCTCTCTACCTCAGAGGTTAGTTTTGTTCCTTTTTACTTTCGGCAGGCTTCTTTTTACCCCTTTTAGATCCTTCAAACACTTCCACCATGGTTGTAGATCTAGATGTTCTTCGTATGAGACTTAGACTTCCTGACGACATCGAAGTTAGGGTTTGCCCTAAGGATGTTAATATTATGACCGGTGCCGGCCTCCTGCCCGGCGAAGTCTTATTCACGAACCTTCAATTGAATGTCGTTAGGTTCCCTCTGCACCCTTTCTTTAGTTATGTCTTCAATAGACTGGGGATATCCCCCCTGCAGGTAAACCCCAATTTCTTTAGAATCATATCCGTTATGCTTCTGTTGATGCGTGACAGAAATCTGGACCTTGACATCATAGATCTTCTTCTGTGTTATAAGGTCAGTAAGATCCGAACTAACGAGCCCTTCTACCACCTCTACCCGTTCGAGAAGATGTCCATATGTACGGACACAATAAAATCTGAAAAGGGTTAGAGGGATAATATCGTGGGCATTAGTGGGGCTTGGTCTTCGCCGGCTGCGGAGGGTTACCCAATCCCGAGCGCCTTTGGCGTCTGTTCTGTTTCCTCATATAAGAAATTCAAATCTCACAAACATGATTGCCCCTGCGAAACATGCGTTCCCCGCTTTTGTACTTTCTTATGCCGTTCCTTAGGAATACCTTGTGATGACTTGAGCTACAGTGTTTGCAGGGATAGGAGTAATTACTTGAAGAAATATGTTCTGAACGATATTCCTTCCTGCTCAGACCTCCTCACTTCAGACAACCTCCTAGCGCTCTCATCCCTCGGCTACAACATGAGCAGGCTTCAGATTCCTTCTTTTGGCAGGAAGAAAAATACTCCCCCAGCCACTCCTGCTGCTGGGGCAACCTCCTCTCCAGCATCAGCTTCTTCCTCAGCCACCATCTCTGACACTACCCCGAGCACGGTGGCTATTAACTCTGCTGTCAGCACCCCTGCTGCCAACCCGAGCGCGTCTCCCCAAATTACCACAGCCCCTGCTGCCGCGGGGGGCGCTCGGGACAAAGAACGAGGCAAAAGGCCTCATCCTGACAGTGGAATCGATCCTGAGGAGGAACCTCTCATAAGAAGGACCCGGGTCTCCGGGCCGGGTGCTCTCTTGCATCGCCCGATCAGAGCTCCTGCCCCCTCCGGGCCTATTGCAGCTGGTGCCTCTGCTTCTGCTTCAGGCCCCCCTTCTCTCTCCCACCTTACCACCATGGGCCCCTCGGTACACCCGAACGGATGGGACGTTCGTGAAACCGAACGAGACCATGCTGAAGGATGGCCAGACCGCCATGGCGTACTATAGGAGCATGTGGACTCCTAAAGACCTTGAGGCTGCTATGGAGGTGACTTTTATTTTCCAACTCATAAATTCTCTCATATTATTTGGTCTTGCCTTCGCCCGACCTGACTATTGGCTTAACCGTTATTAATGTACATCTATGCAGACATTGTTCGGAATGATGGCTATGCAGAACCAGGTAGAGATGGGGAGCGCCAGGGCTCGTAAGTTTTCTGATAGCCTGGAGGTGGCTAATAAAGAAAACGACCTTCTCGCCATCAAGAATACTGAGGTACTGGCTCGGCTTGAAAAAACTGAACAAGAGAGAGATGTCCTGAAGAAGGAGAACGACTCTCTTCAGGATGAGAAGGATGCCCTCCAGCTTGAAAAGAGCGTCTGGCAGACTGAGCGTGATTCAATCAGAGACGAAAAGGCAGAGCTCCAGCGCCTTCTGGCTGATGAACAGTCTGCTCGGATGGCTTTTGAGAAGAGAGCTCTGGACGAGCGTACCGCTCTGATTGATGCGATCAGCAGAGTGAACGGTAGGATGCTGGCTCTTCATGCTCGGTTCTCAAGGGTCGGTGCTCTTAGATATGCTCAAGGATTCCGAGAAGGTTTCTCCGACCGAGTTCCGGATGAGGGACAGACCAGCTCCACTCCAGATGAGGTCGACAAGGATTTAGGGATCGACCCTCTGGGGGTCTATGTCGACCCAGAACCCACCGAAGCGGAGCGCATATTTGATGAGTGCCAGGACATTGCTTCCTCAAGGATCATTACAGCTCCTCCTACCGCTCTGCCTCTGACCGCTCCTCAATCGTCAACTGTGGTACCTCCCATAGCCACTGCTGACGTTGAGCCCCAGCCGAACGATTCTGTCATTCATCTTGATTCCCCACCTCGTGAGGGTGAGACGGCTGATGGGTCCGAGGAGGCGGGTCGGCACAACCAGGATGCTGTCGGTACTGAGGCAGCTAGCTAGGGCTCCTCCGGACTCTTCGATTCCATACCTTTTTGTAACGATGGATATCTCATTTTTTGTAAACTCAATGCTTATTATGAATGAAATGACAAAACTCTTTTTCCTTTTTTCCTTTGTGTTGTGCTCTGTTCAACCTATTTTCAATACATATATACCTTTTCTCTCTCTTCTTTTATATTAACTTTGCCGTGTGTTTGTTTATGGCAAGTGTCTGGCGTTCGGCTTATGGTGCCGGCTGCCACTCATCTTGCTTAAGTGCCTGGCGCTCGGCTAGAATGCCACTTGCCACTTGGCTTTAAATTTTTAGCAAGTGTCTGGCGTTCGGCTTATGGTGCCAGCTGCCACTTATCTTGCTTAAGTGCCTGGCGCTCGGCTAGAATGCCACTTGCCACTTGGCTTTAAATTTTTAGCAAGTGTCTGGCGTTCGGCTTATGGTGCCAGCTGCCACTTATCTCGCTTAAGTGCCTGACGCTCGGCTAGAATGCCACTTGCCACTTGGCTTTAAATTTTTAGCAAGTGTCTGGCGTTCGGCTTATGGTGCCAGCTGCCACTTATCTTGCTTAAGTGCCTGGCGCTCGGCTAGAATGCCACTTGCCACTTGGCTTTAAATTTTTAGCAAGTGTCTGGCGTTCGGCTTATGGTGCCAGCTGCCACTTATCTTGCTTAAGTGCCTGGCGCTCGGCTAGAATGCCACTTGCCACTTGGCTTTAAATTTTTAGCAAGTGTCTGGCGTTCGGCTTATGGTGCCAGCTGCCACTTATCTTGCTTAAGTGCCTGGCGCTCGGCTAGAATGCCACTTGCCACTTGGCTTTAAATTTTTAGCAAGCCATTGGAAAGGAAAGTTATTTTTGTAAACTTCAGTAATTTGCACATTCATAAGTACTTGATTGACAACAAATAACATCC